TTAAGTCATAGTCCCTGTCAGAGATTACGGTTGTTCACAGTATCCTATCATTTCATTGAGATACAGCTTGGTGTAATTATAGCACAGTCCTTGGAGTAAATTTTAAGCCATTACTTTTCCAGTCTTTCTAGATCAACTGAATGTCAGAGGGGAAAGTGGTAGACTAGTGAGTGTTGGTATAACATTTGGAATGTGAGAAGTGTGAGTTCGTTTTGGAGAGTGTCATGAGCAGAATTCCCAAATAGAAGTTCTCCTAATGTCTTACCACTGAGATCTTCCCTCTAAATTCAATCTCTCTGTTTTTGGTTGATCACTGTGTAAGACACTGTAAATGTCTGTGAGATGTGCAGGTTTGCTCATTTTATTATCTGTATGAATATGCTGGAGAAGGAGTAGCCTGGTTTCTAGCCTGCTGCTTCTTCTCCCAAGAGAACTGGCAAGAATTTTTTTTTTTAAGTAAAGCTAGCTTGAATGTGGCCTAAAGTAGGAATGGTGATTCTTATTTCAATGGAGAAGATTGCTCTGTAGCTTTCTAGACTGCCAGTCAGACCATCATTTTGTATTTCCTAGGAAATATTTCATAGTAAAATGTGTGCAAGCAGAGCTGAAGAAGTAGACCTTACGTTAGTAGTTAGTATATCAAAATGATAATTGCTATACTAGATATAAACACAAGTCGTAAAGTATATGTGAGACCAAAAGCTATTATGGTCAACGTCTGTTTCTCCTGACTTGAATAGTGATGAATGTCCAAAAAAACGAGGAACAGTTGTACCTAGAAATCAGTTTCATTGTTGAGTTTAACTTCTGATATTTCTCTTTGGGATAAATTCACTCAGACTTTATCTGGGTTTTTTAATTTCTAGGGGTAAAGAAGGAAACTAGAACTGATCCTAGACTTCAGAGAATTAGCATTTTGACATATCTTTTTACTAAGGATTTTGAACTCTACAATTGTTAAGAATCTTTACAGGGTGATGCTGACAGTTAAATGCATTTAAAGAAATCCTGTTCCTGAATTAAAATATCTGATAATTCTGTTCTTGGTAAGAAAAAAGCAGTGCTTTTCAGAAGTTTGAAGATTATCAGAATTGAAAATTCACTACTTGCTAAGCATAATAGCAAAACCAGAAACTATGAAAGAAACAGTTTGTATGTTTGCACTAAATAAATGAATAAATTCTCTATAATACTCATCATAAACCTCGTTAAAAGAAAAATGACAACCTTGGAAATAATATTTGTAACATACACAGCAGGCGAAGGTTATTTACCCACTTAGGAAAATAACAAAATGGGCAAAGAACAAGAACAGATGAGTCACAAAGGAAGGACTGCAAGGTGCCAGTAGATATGTGGATAGATATTCAGCCATGCTTGTAATTGAAGAAATGCCAGTAAAAGAAAGAAAATACCCAGAGTTTTCAAATGTGTGGGAAATGGCCACTCCAGATATGGTTTGGTGTTAAGTTTAAATGTGTACAGATCCTTTTAGAAATAATTTTAATATATATCAAAATTATAATTGCATATCCTCCAATTAAGCAATTCTACCTTTGAAAATTTATCCCTAGGAAAATTTGGATACATGTACAAAGACAAACATACGAAGGTGCCAGTTGTAATAGTGCAAACTGAGAACCAACCCAAATGTTTATCAGTAGTCATAAATAAATTATTTCCATATCCATACATTGGAATTTTATGGCAGGCATCATCTTTCCTCATTTTCTTTATTGTTATAAAATACACCTTACATTTACCGTCTTTTTTTTTTTTTTTTTAAAGTTTTTATTTATTTGACAGAGAAAGTACAAACAAGGGGCAGGCAGAGGGAGAGGGAGAAGCAGGCTCCCCACTGAGCAGGGAGCCTGGTTCGGGGCTCGATCCCAGGACTCTTGGGATCGTGACCCGAGCTGAAGGAAGACGCTTACCAATTGAGCCACCAGATGCCCCAAAACGTTTACCATCTTAACTATTTTGCAAGTTTACAGTCCAGTGGCATAAAGTACATTATGTTGTGTGAACATTACTACCATCCACCTCCAGAACTCTTTTCATCCTGTAAAATTGAATCTCTATACCCATTCAACAGTGACTCCCCATCCCTCCCCAACCCCCACTTTTTCCAGGCCCTGGCAGCCATTCTTCTACTTTCTGCATCTATAAATTTGACTACTCTAGATACTTCATGTAAGTGGAATCATATAATATTTGTCTTTTGTGACTGATTTATTTAGATTTCATCCATGTTGTACCATGCATCAGAATTTCATTCTTTTTTAAGTATAAAATATAAACTTCTTTAAAATTTAATTTTTGAGTGAGTAGAACATCTGTTCGAATTCAAGAGGATGGTTGGGAGGAGAGGAGATGGGATGCAATTGCTAATTGGGATGGGATTTCTCCAAGGGGTGATGGAAGTGTGCTAGAACTGATAGTGTTCCATGTACAACTTTTAATATGCTAAAAACGACTGAATTATATAGTTAAAACAGGTGAACTTTATGGTATGTGAATTGTATTTCAGTAAGACTGTTACTAAAAAAAAAAAAAAATCCAATGTCGGGACGCTTGGGTGGCTCAGTTGGTTGGACGACTGCCTTCGGCTCAGGTCATGATCCTGGAGTCCCTGCATCGAGTCCCACATTGGGCTCCCAGCTCCACGGGGAGTCTGATTCTCCCTCTAACCTTCTCCTCGCTCATGCTCTCTCTCACTGCCTCTCTCTCAATAAATAAGTAAAAATCTTAAAAAAAAATCCAATGTCAATTATATTATACTTCAAGTAAAAAAAATTTTAAGAGGAATACATTTCTAGTAAAGTGTTCTTACAACTTGTCCCTCAACTATTCTAGTTTTACTTTCTTTCTTTCTTTCTTTTTTTTTTTTTAATTAGAGAGAGAATGAGAGAGAGAGAAGAGCAGAGTGGGGAAAGAAACTCAAGCAGGCTCCATGGTCAGCACAGAGCTGGTTACAGGGCTTGATCTCATGACCCTGAGATCATGACCTGAGGTGAAATCTAGAGTTGGATGCCCAACCAACTGAATCACCCAGGCACCCTCTAAAAAAAATTATTTCTTGTGTGACTTTCCAGAAATATTTTTATTTTTTATGAATATTTTATTTATAGTAAATATTACTCCCTCCCTTTTAACAAAAGTGGTAGTAAATTGAACATAGATGGTATTCTATACCCAAGCAGACATCTCTGAAGTCTGTTTCTCTTGGTTTTAGGTTAAAAGGTTTTTTTTTTTTTTTTGGTTTGTTTTTGTTTTTAAATTACAAAAGGATCACATGGTTAGATAGTATAGAAAAGTATGAAGAAAAATGTAGAAGCTGTCCATACCTGAGATGGTCATTGGCAATTGCTTATATATCCTTTTAGACTTTTCTCTCCATGTTTAATATGCTCTTTTGAAAATTAGAATTGAGATCATCCTATACTTGGTATTGTATAGTCAGCTTTTTTATACTTTAAACAATATATTGTGATCATAGTTTTTAATCAGTAAATATCTGCATTGTGTGGACATTTCTCATTTACTGTAGCTCATCACCTGTTAATATTTATTTAGGTTGTTTCTGATTTTGTCACTATTATAAACAAGAATGAATATCTTTCTGTGTACACCTTTGTACCCTTGCCAGACTATTTCTTTGAGATACTTATTACATCGCTGTTTTGCAATCTGCCAAAATCTTTTAACAGCCTGTGTTTTAAAATATAAACTTACAAAGATTTCCATGGTACTGTTAACTCTGTGAAAAGAGGGTGCAGGTATTTAAATCCTTATTTATTTTTAAATATGAAGGATCTGAAATGCTGAAAGTGGCATTGTGTCCAGAATTGCATAGCATTTAGTGTGAGAGCTGGCGCTAAAACTCATGTCTCTTATTGTGGGTTAGTGTCCTTTCCACTGTGGCATACTGCCAGTCCTTAAATATCTTCAATACAAGGAGTGATTTTGTTATTGTTGCTTCTTCATTTCTAAAAATATGATTCTAAAAATGTTAGTTATTGTTTAATATTATTTAATACTTATTTAATTTTTAATTTTATTTTTACTTTATTTTATTATTTATTTTAATGTAATTAATTTATATAAAACATACAATTAGTATTTTATTATTTATTTTATTTATCTAATTTAATATTTAATTATTTAATTATTAATTATTTAATATATGAATTTAACTTCTTAATAGTCATTTTGTGTTTTGATATCCTTTGTATTTTTTGGTGAAAATTTAAAAAATTTTTCAATTTTTAAAATTTTAAAAAATTAATTAATTAATTGAAAAGATTTTATTTATTTATTTGACAGAGAGACAGTGAGAGAGGGAACACAAGCAAGGGGAGAGGGAGAGGGAAAGGGAGAAGCAGGCTTTTTGCTGAGCATGGAGCCCAGCGCGGGGCTCAATCCCAGGACCCTGGATGATGACCTGAGCCAAAGGCAGGTGCTTAACCACTGAGCCACCCATCGGTCCTGAAACTTTTCATTTTTAATTAATTAATTTATTTGAGAGAGAGAGAGTGCACGAGCATGGGGGGAGAGACAGAGGAAGAGAGAATCTCAAGCAGACTGAGCCGAAATCAAGCATTGGATGCTCAACTTACTGAGCCAGACAGGCACTCTTTTTGATGAAACTTTTGTATGATGTGTTTGTATTCCTGTAGATTTCCCCTTTTTCTCCCCTCCCCTTTGGTTCTATGTAATACCTTCTACTGATTTTGAACAATATCTTTATTTTGTTATGGCTCATGCCAAGTGAGGAGCTGTCCTACTTGTTTCCTGTTGGGAATAAACATATGTTAAATTACTGAGATTTTATAGATGATCACAATCATTTTTTTGGAGACAATGTAAAAAAACAGAATTTATTGAATTCAGGGTTCTGAGAGCCATAGTAGCTACTTTCTGACTTTCCCAGTCTGCTTTGTTTTTTCTTCTTGAAAGGGAAAGCTGATTTGGGGTTTTCTTTTTTGTCTTGCTTTTAGCACATGCAAATGACAATCCAGGCTCTTCAGGATGAATTGCGGATCCAGAGAGACCTGAACCAGCTGTTTCAGCAAGACAGTAGCGGTAGGACTGGTGAACCCTGTGTGGCAGAGCTGACTGAGGAGAACTTCCAGAGGCTACACGCTGAGCATGAGCGGCAGGCCAAAGAGCTGTTCCTTCTTCGAAAGACTTTGGAGGAAATGGAGCTGCGTATTGAGACTCAGAAGCAAACCCTAAATGCTCGGGATGAATCCATCAAGAAACTTCTGGAGATGTTGCAGAGCAAAGGACTTTCTGCTAAGGCTACTGAAGAAGACCATGAGAGAACAAGACGACTGGCAGAGGCAGAGATGCACGTCCACCACCTAGAAAGCCTTTTGGAGCAGAAGGAAAAAGAGAACAGTATGTTAAGAGAGGTGAGTGACCACTTTTTCCATCTTAAGACTTACTGATGGTCCTTTTTTCCCCTGATTAGTCAGCATCTTGGCTTTGATAAATTTACATGTTCTATTGGGTTAGTGGGAGAGAATTTCTTCTTTGTTATTTATGCTTCACTGATTTCTATTCTGATTTGCTCTCTTGCATGAGATGGCATTGATTGGTATGTACACTGGCTTGATGACCCTCTGTGTCTTTTTCCGCCTCTATTTGATTTCTGTAGACTCATTTTGTTGCTAGAGGGGCACAGAATTTTCTTTGTTACTTATCTCTTAATTTGTTCATAGAGACACACGCAACAAAACCAGAATCAGAGTACCTATTATTTAATTTTAGAATATTACTAAGAGAAAGTAAGCGGTTACCTCAGTTTAGGTGTGCTTATATAAATAGTCCTTGGCAGTAGTAATGGATGTTTGCCCTGTGGTTTCCATGGAAACTTGCCTTGCTGTAAAAGATGTGTAATAAAAATCATTTGCTGCCATGGAAGCACAGTGAGAAAGAATGATACAGAGGCATACTGCAGCTATTTTTTATAGAGGAAACTCAGACTTCAGCTGACCACTGTGATTGTTGATAATTTTTCACTTTTCTAAGTAGTGAGTCATTTTGAGAAAGTATAAATGAATTTTAAAAAATTGACATATAATTCTCTATATGTGGTCAGAGACTTTAGCCATTTGAATGGGGAAAAAAAAAACCTCAGAAATGTGTTAGTGCCAGTCTGAATGAAGTATGAGGAAAGAAATTTTAAAAATGGACTATTCCCCAAACAGCAAAATAACAACTTCAAAAGGATACTTCTAAATTTGAAGTTCTGTGACTTCTCCTTTTGTAAAAATTCTGAAATATTTATTTACAGTGAGGATATTTTATTTTTGATAAAGGGGAAATTCGTTGTTTTTTAAATACATGATTTTATTACACAATAAATTCACTGTAGATTATTGTAGTAAGGTTAGAAAATAGATTAGCAAAAATTTAAAACCCCAGGTGTCATTACCTAGTGATAACTGCTATGTATATGTTTCTAGTCATTTTTTTTAAAAAGATTTTATTTATTTGAGAGAGAGAGAGAGAATGAGAGAGAGAGAGTATGAGAGGAGAGAGGTCAGCGGGAGAAGCAGTCTCCCTGCTAAGCAGGGAGCCCGATGTGGGACTCGATCCTGGGACTTCAGAATCATGATCTGAGCTGAAGGCAGTTGCCCAACCAACTGAGCGACACAGGCGCCCCTGTAGTCATTTTTATTATGTATATATTCCTTCTACATTTCTTTCTCTGAAAAAGATAGAATACCAGGGGTGCCTGGTGGCTCAGTCGCTGGAACATCTGACTCTTGATTTTGGCTCAGGTCATGATCTCTGGGTTGTGTGATCGAGGGATTGAGCCTGTGTCCGTGGGCTCTGTGCTCACTGGGGAGTGGGATTCGCTCCCTCTACCCCTTCCCCTCTGTGCTCTTTCTCTCTCAAATAAATAAATAAGTAACTCTTAAAAAAAAGTTAGAATACTATCCATTAGTATTGTCTAATACAGCTTTCTGTGATGATGGAAACGTTCTGTATCTGCTCTGTTTGTTATGGTAGCCACTGGTTACATGTGCTTGTTGAGCCCTTGAACTGTGTTGACCGAGGACCTGAATTTTAAATTCTATTTAAATATAATTAATCCAGAATTAAATTTAATTAATCAAATGTAAAGTGGCTGCTGTATTAGTGCAGGTATGCTTAATGCAGTGTTGCTGGCTTTTCTTAATAATTTGTTTTGACCACTTTTCTTTTGTTAGGTACCTGTAGAGTATTGTAATTTCTGATGAATTTATAAAGTTCCATTGCATTTATTTGAATACTTTTTACCACTGAAAATTTTATTTTCATATTAATTTTTCAGTATTATAAAACTGTGCTTCACTGAATATCCTTAACCATATATCTCAATACATTGACTTTTATGTTTAGGATACATTTCTAGAAATGAATTTGCTCAAAGTGTGTGCACATTTTTGAAACTGAGTACTCTTATCTTCCAGAGTGATTACACCAGCTTATCTTCCCAGCAGCATCTAATGTGTTCTTACGATTAATGGGCAACTATGTACACGTTATTCTCTTCAGATTATCAGAATGTAATATTTTAGAAAATTGTTAACCAAGTGCTTTGTCAAGGAACATCCTGAGTTTGTTTCAGTTTGCTTTCAATTTACTTTACTTTATGACCTGACCATAGAACATGGTTAGAGAAGTTGTGGTAATCTTACACATCATGCAACAGCAGTATCATGAATTTTGAATGTTAGGTTTTTTTTTTTTTTTAAGATTTTATTTATTTATTTGACAGGGAGAGATCACAGTAGGCAGAGAGGCAAGCAGAGAGAGAGAGGAGGAAGCAGGATCCCCGTTGAGCAGAGAGCCCGACGCGGGGCTCGATCCCAGGACCCCGGGATCATGACCTGAGCTGAAGGCAGAGGCTCAACCCACTGAGCCACCCAGGCGCCCCTTGAATGTTAGGTTTTTAAGGCTTCTCTTCTGAATATTTCGACCAGTGCATATTTATTTATTTAAAAAAAATTTAAATTGAAGTAGAGTTGACATGCATTGTTAGGTTGTTTTTAGGTGTACAGTATGGTGATGTGACAGGTCTATACGTAATGTGCTTTGCTTACCACAGTATTTGCTGCCATTTGTCACCATACAATGCTATTACAATACCATTGACTATATTTCCTCGCTGTACCTTTTATTCTTGTTACTTATTCATTCTATAACTGGAAGCCTGTAACTCCCACTCCCCTTTACCCATTTTGCCCACCCTCCCAACCCATCTCCCCTTTTGTTCTCTATATTTATAGGACTGTTTCTGGTTCTTGTTTTTTCATTTATTTTGTTTTTTAGATTCCATGAATAAGTAAAGTCATGTGATATTTGTCTTTGTCTCACTTATTTCATTTAGCATAATGCCCTCTAGGTTCATCCATGTTGTCATAAGTGGCAAGATCTCACTCTTTTTTATTATGCCTATTTAATTTTGAATTTTGAAGTTAAAAGTAATGAATAGTGAAGGACTGTGAAAAGCCACACTGTTATTCTGGCAGAGAACCATTAAAAACATGGTGAATTTGAAAAACTCATAGAAAAAAATAAGAATTTAAGAATAATTTTTCAAATAACAACCTCTACAAATATTAAGTCCAACTTATGTACATAATATGGAAAGAAATATAGGCCTTGTCAGTCATACCAACACACAATTCCAGTTGCCATTAGTAACAGTATTCTTTTATAGGCGACACAGTCATAGGAATTAAAATTACTCAAGAGCAAGTGGAAATGATTGCTTCAGAAACAAAAAGACTTATTTACTTAGAGAGAATGAACAAGCATGAGTTAGGGGGGCCAGAGGGAGAGAAGCAGACTCTCTGCTGAGCACAAAGCCCTGGGTGGGGCTTTATCTCATAACCCTGAGATTCACATGAGTGATATCAAGAGCTGGGTGCCTAACCAGCTAAGCCACCCAGGTGTCCCTGGAACCAAATGTCAAAAAAAAAAAAAAAAAAAAAGTTTAGAGTTTTTGTTTTCTCTGTTTCTCCTATTTACCTTTAGGACTTAGACTAAATTTCAGTTCTTTTGTGTTTTCCTTGTGCAGCTTTATACATATATGTAGATTAATGATATTATAGTATATTTATATTTACATGTATATTTCTTCATCATTCACTTAATTTTTTGCATCAAAGATACATTTTCTATTTTTTATTTATTTTATTTTAAAGAATTTATTTATTTATTTGACAGAGAGTGACACAGCGGGAGTGGGAACTCAGGCAGGGGAAGCAGGAGAGGGAGAAGCAGGCTTTCTGCTGAGCAGAGAGCCCGATGTAGGGCTTGATCCCAGAACCCTGAGATCATGACCTGAGCTGAAGGCAGATGCTTAATGACTGAGCCAGCCACACAGGCATCCCAAAGATACATTTTTAAAAAAAAAGATTTTATTTTATTTTATTCTTTTTGAGAGAGAGACTGCGAGCTGGGGGTTGGTAGAGTGGAGGAGCAGAAGGAGAGAGAGAGAATCTTAAGCAGGCTCCATGCCCAGCATAGAGCTGGACACAAGGCTCACTCTCATGACCTTGAGATCGTGACCTGAGTTGAAATCAAGAATTGGTCACTTAACCAACTAAGTCACCCAGGTGCCCCTAAATATTTTATTTTTAAGTACTCTCCACACCCAATATGTGGCTGAACCCACAACAATGAGATCAAGAATCCCATGCTCCTCTTACTGAGCCAGCCAGGTGCTCCCAAAGATACATTTTTTTCTTTAAGTTTACTTTGAAGATTTGTTTATTTATTTGAGAGAAAGAGAGCATGTGTGTGCACACATGCACACATCATGTAGGGGAGGGGCAGAGGGAGAGGGAAAGGGAGAGAATCCTCAAGCAGACTTCCTGCTGAGTGGGAAACCCAACCTGGGGCTCAGTCTCACAACCCTGAGATCATGACCTGAGCTGAGATCAAGAGTCGTAGGCTTAAGGAACTGAGCCAAGCAGGTGCCCCACCAAAGATACATGTTTTTAAAAAATCTTTATTTTGCCAGTGTCTAACAAATACACAGTGGATACTTGAGAAATGTTAGTTGAGTAAGTTGAAGTGCAGGAAAAAATTTAAACCTGGAACTTATATATAGGATACCATTTTGAGTTTTTATCCCCCCTGGTGTGACCACTGGGTACTAAAACCTGATGAAGGTTTGAAAACAAGTTAAGCCCCAAAGTTAGTTTTGCTTCTGAGTTCAGTTATACATATTTAAATAAAATATTAGCAGATAGAATCAGCAATATGATAAAATGATAAATAAAAGTGATAAATAAAAATGATACTCTGATCAGAAGGCATTTATTCCAGGAATAGCAGAATGACTCATACATAGTTATAGTTTGTATTAGGTAAAAGGAAAAGAGAACCTTGTGGTATTTGGTGGCTGTCT